GGGAGGTGTTAAGGATGCTGCCTACATTTTTGGTTTGCTTAACTAAATAAATGGTGCCAGATTTAGGGGAAAGATCATGCATATACTTTTGGACATAAAGAACTTGAACTTCCTTTGAGACAAGCAAATGTGGGGTTCTAGAAACCAAGGAAAGAGAAGGTTCCAAGAAGGAGGGAGAGATTAACTATGTTGAAAGCTATAGAGAGGTGAGATAGCATACTGCTGAAAAATCTCCATGAGAGAGTTGCTTCAGAGGAGTGAGGAATGCAGAAGCTAAGCTGGAATGGGTTGATAAGTGAGTAGGAATAAGGAAACCAGAGACACTTTTCCTTCCACCACACACACACACACACACACACACACACACACATCCCTCAGTTGTAGGAAATGTACTTGTATTGGCATAAAAAATAGTGTCATAATTCTAACCAAATCAGAAATATTAAGTGAACTCAAGCTCCACTTGGGATGAAATTTAACTTCAACTTATACATGTCATTTTACCTAGTTCTCTCTAGGAATGGCACTAGCTGTAGAAAAGCATGATAGTTGATGCTACTGTCATTCCAATTAGAAAATAAGAATTCTACAAAGAAATTTGCTACCCAAAAATTGCTACAAAAAAAAGTAACTTTGTGAGACACTGAAGCAAGAATGTCACTCCCTTTCTGGTGAGACGAGTTCCCCCTGACGACATGCCTCTCGCTAAGAATCTCTTTCATTCCTCTCCAGAAGGGAAGAAGAGGGGCCTGGTGCAGAGCCCCAATTCCTACCTCACGAATGTGAAACGCCAAGGATGGCATCAAATCGCTACCAACCTTAGCCAGACAAACGGTGTGTTGCATGCCCTACGGTCCTCTCTAGGCCGACAGGAGGAAAAGCAAGACTTCCATAGGTCACTCCTTCAGAAGGAAGCAGCACTAAAAATACCAGAATCAAGGAGAGTGGGGAACTGTCCCAATAAACACATTTTGGATAAAAATAAAAAAGAATGCTACTCTTTGGTGGGCTTTACTTGATCTATCCCACTCTGGGCCAACAAGTATCGCCTGGTGCCAGTAAAAGATATGGACATTGTTGTACAAATTCAATAAACAGACAATGCTATGAAATATTCTGAATTTAAAACCTCACTACAGCTGAGGAGTATTGTACATTTGCTCCCTCGTTTGCCTCAACTGGGAAAATATGCATCGTTAGCTTTAAGCATCAGTCCTTCCTCTGTGTTCTACACAGCCTTCGGCTTCCCACGTTGCCATATCCACGTTTTGCCAGTTCCAGGTCAGGTGCTGCCTATCGGTGAGTCTTTTCTGGTTACACCCATATCACACATTATTGGGGAAACCTTCAACACGAAAAGCCAATAACATGAAATGTTGCCACCCAGGCCTTGCTCTCAAATGGCTAAATGTTGCAGAATAGATCATGAAGTTCCAGCAGGTAGAGACTGTGATTCTCATTCTTTTGTATGTTACTAAGACTCGTTATGTGTATTCCAATTAAGTAGAGGATTGTGAACGAATCATAATGTACACCGCTCCAAACCCCCTTTTCCCCTCAAATTTCCCTGAGCAATAATAATGAATTGATTACTATATTCGACTCACTGATCTAGACAGTCTTCACATATTAACACATATAACCCTCCCAACAAACCTATGATACAGGTATTACTACGTCTATTTTATAGATAAGAAAATCAAGGTACAGAAAGCCCAAGTGACACAATTATTAAGTGTCAGGACTGGGGTTCGAACCAAGACACAGAAAACCACGTTCCTAGCATTTTAGCAACAGAAAAATACGGCCTGGTCCGCCCTCTGCGCGACAAGGCTCCGCTGTATCCCCGACGGCCCCTAGGTGGCGCTGCAGGGTCAGGTAAGCGCGCCCGCCAGGGCGACGGAGAGGCGGAGCGGGACCCCAGTCATCACCCCCCCAGTGGGCGGAGCCTAAGGGAGGGCGGGGCAGCGAGGCTTCTGTACGCAGGCGCGGGCCGGGCACTCCCCCGGGAGTGGAGGCTGCTGGGCCGATGACGTGGCCTGGCAACGTCCGCGCCGGTGCACCTCCCGGGAACCCGGCGCCCCCGGAACTGCCCGCGGCCTAGTCCCGACGCGATCGCGCTGGTGAGGCGGCTCCGGGGCGGCGGCGGCCCGGCCTGCGGGAACCGACGAGGCCGCTGCCATGGGGGAGTGACGCGCTGCGCCCGCTGTTCCGCGGCAGCGCGAGACATGAGGAGACCGCGCGGCGGCGCAGCGGCGGCGGCTCCTGAGTCGGGATGGAGGAGATATACGGCGGGGACGTGCTAGCCGGTCTCGGCGGCGGCGGCGGCGGCGGTCGTCTCGGGCCGGTGGACGCGCCCAGCGCTCGGTAAGGGACCGGTCCGCTCCAGGGGCTGCCCACGTGCCTGCGCTCGCGGGCACTCACTCGCGGACCCGGACGACAGCTTGGCCGCCCGGACACACCTTCTCCGCCGCTGCCCTGGCTCCCCGGGCGCGCGGGGACCGGCGCGCCTCCAGACCCCTGACAGCCCGGAGCGCCTCCTGGGCTCGGCACGTGCCCAGCCCCCGGCTCCCGCTCCCGGGCCGCGGCCGGCCGGCGCCCATTGGCTCCTCGGTCCCCGCCGCGGAATGAATGGTCTGGAGTCAGGACGGCTCTCGGGAGAACTGCCGGTCCGTTCAGGGAGGCGTTTCTGATGCTGTTTCTCCCTAAAATAGTAGTTTAGTGACGGCTTAACCTTCCTGACATCTTCCTGTGTAATGTAGGGGAAGGTGTCACCATCGTGTCTTCAGGCGAAGAAACCAAAGTACAAACAGGTGAACTTCGGAAGTTCAGGTTAACACCACACGTCAAGAATCCAGCCCGTCGCCTGGTTTTCTTTTCCTTTCGTGGTTTATTTTATTGTTAAGTAAGATATGTGTGCTCATTGTCAAAAAACCCACAGTGCAGACATTCAGAGTAAGAAGTGAACTTCCCCTCTTTACCCCCCCCCCCCCCCCCGCCAGTACTCCCAGTAACCCCCAGGGACGGACAGTGACCACTCTGGGGTGTGCCCGTGGCCCGTCCCGAGTCCTGAGTGTCAAAGATGACACTTCGTTTTCAATGAGGTTAAGGTTTTCTCATTCTTGGATACTTTCTTTGAGACTTAAAAGTTGGGTTGATAAATTCTTTGAAATCATAGAAATAGTATTACAACTATTTTCTGTGAATAGGAAAGAACACAAAATGCTGGAACAACTTAAATCAACTGCATTTTTGTAGTACAAGTTTAATTTTTTCATCTGTTTTGAGCAACTCCTTTTATAAATAACAGATATCAGATGTTTACTCTGACATGACAACTAAATGCAATAGGCAATTCCGGTCTGGATTTGGTACTGGACAGGAAAAATGCTAAAAAGGACAGTATTAGGTCAATTGACAAAATTGGACTATGGACGATAGATTAAATTATCATATTAATGTTTAAGTTTCCTGAAGCTGGTAACTGCTGATTTTATAAGAGAATGTCTATATGCTGAGGAAATACAGGTATTTAGGTGTAAAGGAGCATGATGTATGTAACTTAAATAAATACTTAAAAAAATTAAGTTTGTGTATTTAGGGAGAGAGATAAGGCAAATAGGACAATACATTAACAATTAGGGAATCTAGCTAGGTAAAGGTATACTATTCTTGCAACTTTTCTGTAAACTTGAAGTTATTTTTAAATAACAGTTTAAAGTTGTTATTTACTCAAGAGCTTATTGTCTTAGGTTGATGTTGGAAACAGTCCTTTGCTTCATTTGCATTATTTACTTAGCAGAGTTGCCCTCCTATTGATGTCTGCAGACAGACATCCCTCTTGCAATCCAGGACCACTGGCTCCTAACTGCTCGCCTGCCTGATCGCCCCTAACTGCCTCTGCCTGCCTGCTGGCCTGATCACCCCTACCTTGCCCCCCTGCTGGCCTGATTGCCCCTAACCTCCTCTGCCTCAGTCCCTAGTCTAAGCCACAGTCTGGCCTCCCTCAGCTGGAGGCGACCTGGCCGATCATGGAAGGCACTGCCCCCATCACTCTGCTGCTGCTGCCACTGGTGGCCACCATGGCTGCCTGAGCCTCGGGCCGGCCCTGGGCAGCAGCAGCCACCATCCACGGCTTGCCTGAGCTTCAGGCAGCTGCTGCAGCTTTGTCCGGATGGTCGTCCTAAGATGTCCACCCTAATTAGCATATTACCCTTTTATTAGTATAGATATTTTTTATTGATTTCAGAGAAGAAGGGAGAGGGAGAGAGAGAAACATTGATGAGACAGAGAATCATTGATCGGCTGCCTTCTGCATGTCCCCTGCTAGGGATCAAGCCCACAACCTGGGCATGTGCCCTTGACTTGAATAGAACCTGGGACTCTTCAGTCCACAGGTTGATGCTCTATCCATTGAGCCAAACCAGCTAGGGCTTTGTTTGTTTTTCAAACTGAAGAATTGTGAGCTGTTGCAGTGGTCAAAGCTTAAGAAACAGGTTTGAACCCAAAACCCAAATTTCAGTAATTCCAGGTTTACAGAACCAGAGATTTTTCTAATCCTTCACAGAAAAGACCAGTGATATCTTTGATGAGACAGTTAAAGGCAAATAATGATTTTTAATTTAGGGAGGTGGATTGGCACCCCCTCAGTTGCGCAGAGAGTCAGTGTCTCAAGGGTCACTGCCCTTGTTCAAGAGCCTCCCTTTCCTCTTCCCCCACATCTTTCCTTTTAGTAAACGAAGCTGTTCATTATTTCCCTCTGCAATATAAACTAGGAATGTCTACTTAGGTAGTGTGTCATCTTTAGCCCAACAAGACTTCATTAATTGAGACTTTAAAAATCAAACTATCCAACTTTTAAAATTGGAAAATAAATTTTCTTTCTTTTTTCTTTTTTTTACCCCCCCCCCTTTTTTTTTCCCCCACTAGGGAAAGCTGGGGCTGGGTGGGACCACTGTCCTCTGATGGAGAGACAGGGACCCAGAGCCAATACAGCACATTCATTTTATACGAAAATAAATTTTCTAATTTAATATGGCAACAAAAAGGTCTTCAATATTTACTTTTAAAGTCATATTGCAATATCAAAAAATGTACATTTCTGGATATATGAATGTATCTAAAAGACGTGTATCAATTCATGGAGATGCAAAGTAAAAGGTTTGGAAGGATGTACGAACCCAGTTGGTCACCTATGAGAAGGAAATTGGGAATGACTTTAAAACTTTTATAACAACCAGCTAGCTACTCAGGTGTGCTTTTGTAATCTCTGGTGTGTTTTTTGTTTTGTTTTGTTTTTTATTAAAAAGGAAATAAAAAATGGAATAAAGAAAATTAGTATCAGAAAGATCATAATAGTAACATATTATCAAGAAGTATTTAATGTTCCATATGACTAAATCTTGCCATGAAAGTGCCAAATTTTTATTTTCATTTTTTAAAAAATATATTCTTATTGATTTCAAAGAGGGAGAGGGAGATAGAAACATCAATGATAAGAGAGAATCATTGATTGGCTGCCACCTGCACACCCCACACTCGGGACCGAGCCTGCAACCTGAGCATGTACCCTGATGGGGAATCGAACTGTGACCTGGTTCATAGGTCGATGCTTAAACACTGAGCCATGCCAGCCTGGCTGAAAGTGCCAATATTTTTACGTTTTGTTAATACATTAAACAAAAATTATTTAGAAATAATTTCATATTGCTCCCGTCTTCTTAAAACTAATATATTAAATATAATTTACTTAGTGACTTCAGGTCATTTTGATCATAATCTGATGAACTGGGCTTAAATACAATCATTTCTTCAATGGCTCCTTCGTAGTGCCAGCGTTTTGCATATGTTGTTCTCTGTACTTTGAAATACCCTTCCCTTTTTCTTGCTTCAGGATTCCTCCTTTGCCCTTGTATGCACATTTGTACATCTCAAACTCTGAAGATGATCTTTGCTTTCCTTGTTAACAATTACATAGTTGCTTCCACATCTAGCCCTTTAAATTCTATTATTTCTTGGGTCACATAAATACTTGTTTTTCTGCCTACCTAAGATCTTAACTCCTGGAAGACAGGGTCTCTTTATGTATTTAGTGTCTTGGATAGTACCTAGAAATGTGTTTAGATGTAAGTAACCAAAGTAAGAGCTTTCTAAACAAATAGAGACATAACCTTACGTCTAAGAAACCATTGGTTGCCTGGCCGGGTAGCTCAGTTGGTTCTGGTGTCTTGGGCACCAAAAGGGTTCCAAGGTCAGGCACTTACGGGAGGCAACAGATTGATGTTTCTTCTCTCTCTCTCTCTCTCTCTCTCTCTCTCTCTCTCTCTCTCATTAATAATAACATATCCTTTGGTGAGGATTTTTTTTTTTTAAAGAAACCATGGAACCAGATTCTTTGTCTTTGCTCTCTGTAAAATGTGTAACATTTTTTTAGATAAGTTTTAGACAGAAGACCTCCCTGGAAGGCAGGAAAAAAAGGTAAAAGGATTCCTAGCTATATCTTGCCCTTTTATCAGGAAGAGGGTAGGTTGTACCTGAAGCCACCCTGTCAGGTTTCTCTTGGGTCTCGTTGGCCACATATGGCATCTAGCATATAGTAAAGTATGCAAGGAATATTTGAAGAATGGCTAAATAGCCCCATGAGGAATGTACAAGGCTTTTGGCTGACATCAATATTTCCCAGACTGCTGTGGTTTTTAATGTAACTGTTTTTCCTGGTCTTTGTTTTTTTTTTTTCTTTTAAACAGAACATGATTATATTTAATATATAAGTTTGATACAACCAAAACGTGAAACACCAGAATAAAATAATAACAAAAAAACAGGATATTTCATTTGCAATGTATGAGAAATGCTTAACATCTTTAGTCATAAACAAGCTCTTAAAAACCAGTAACAGAGACACTATAATGCAAGAAAACATTTCTTTTTAAATATTTTTTTCATTGATTTCCGAGAGAAGAAAGGAGAGGAAGAGAGAGATAGAAAAATCAATGATGAGAGAGAAACATCCATCACCTGCCTCCTGCATGGTAGGGGATTGAGCCAACAACCCAGGCATGTGCCCTGATGGGAATGAAAGCGTGACCTCCTAGTTCAGGGGTCGATGCTCAACCACTGAACCACACCGGCTGGGCTCTTTGTTTTTTTTTTCTCTATCTTGTCGACAGATGTTCTTTATGTCCGTGTTTCTATCATGTTACCTTATTTTTACACCTAGTTAAGAGCTTTAGGAGGTTTTGACCTTTCTTCTACTTAATTTCGTTCTTTTATTTTGAATTTATGGCTGAGTTGCTGGTAGTTAAAATTGCCAAAAGCTTGAATGCCTCTTATGTACTGTATTACTGCACTATATATATTACTGTACTAAATATTACTGTATCACATAAGTATAATTGTAGAGTTAGCACTTTTTCATTTGGTAAATGTTTACTGAACATATGTTACGCAAGTCCCTGTGTTAGGAGCTGAATAAACAAAGGATTTCTAGCTCAACTATTATTTTTATTGGCTAATTATGAATTGCCACCATGACAAGAGTATTTAAATAGCATTAGTATAGCCCTAACTGGTTTAGCTCAGTGGATAGAGCGTCGGCCTGTGGACTGAAGGGTCCCAGGTTCGATTCCGGTCAAGGGCATGTACCTGGGTTGCGGGCACATCCCCAGTGGGGGCTGTGCAGGAGGCAGCTGATCAATGTTTCTCTCTCATCGATGTTTCTAATTCTCTATCCCTCTCCCTTCCTCTCTGTAAAAATCAATAAAATATATTTTAAAATAAATAAATAAAATGGCATTAGTATAGTTAATTTACTTACATCTCTGATTTTTTCTCCAATGATACTGAAA